TCAAATCCGAGAACGTCTAAAGGCATCAAGGGATAGACAAAAGAGTTATGCAGATAAGAGACGAAAACCCTTGGAATTCCAAGTTGGAGACCGTGTCCTACTAAAAGTCTCGCCTTGGAAAGGATTGATACGCTTCGGAAAACGTGGGAAACTGAACCCCAGATACATCGGACCATTCGAGATCCTTGCGAGGATCGGTCCAGTGGCTTACAAACTTAGACTACCTCAGGAACTCCACAACGTACACCCTACCTTTCATGTATCAAACCTAAAGAAATGCTTATCCGACGAGACCCTTGTCGTCCCTCTAGACGAAATTGCAATAAACGAAAACCTCCAATTTGTAGAGGAACCGGTAGAGATCATGGATCGGGAAGTCAAAAGGACTAAACAAAGCCGCATACCTATCGTAAAGGTCCGCTGGAACGCCAAGCGAGGACCTGAATACACCTGGGAACGAGAGGATCAAATGAAACAAAAGTACCCGCATCTTTTTCTAATTTGTAATATCTATCTTAGATTAAATTTCGGGACGAAATTCCCGTAACAGGGGGATGATGTGACAACCCTATTTTTCCCAAAAGCATTGTAAACACTCGAAAGCTAAAAACAACGAAATTAACCTCGAAAATAAAGTGTTCAGGTATCTAAGTTGGGATGCATCGAATATTAGATATCATGCCCAGGTTTCCAAAAACATAAAGAACACTCAAAACCGAGTTATATTGAAGAAATTATAACCACTCGTATAATTACGACACGACGTTAAAACATAATTTGACGTAAAAAGTGGAATCTCAATAAAATACATTTTAGCCTTAAAGTATCTAAACAAAAGTCGTAGATCTCGTTGAAAGATGAGCGTGCATAAAAAGATCGCCCAAATTGGACCTCGTATGAAGAAGTTACGAATTTTCAAAGTTTCGTAACAGTAGTAGAGGGCTAAAAACTCGGATTAAAGATCGAGTGTTATTTAGCTATCGCCACCTAAACGGAAGTTGAAGATCTCCTCGGTGGTAATAAAACAATCAAAGACAAACGAAAACCGACGTCGAATAAAGAACCTATGAAATTTTAACGAACTTTAGGAGGCCCGGCCTATTAAAATTATATCATTAAAAATAAAGTCAAAACTAGCCGACGGAGTCTAAATGAAAGTTGTAGAGCATAATCTCACCTACGCGTGGATATAAAGAACGCGAAAAACGGAGCTCGTACGCGAAAGTTACGGAATTTAGAAGTTGGAAGCAGGGATTACGCCCCGCGTACTCTGGGAGTACGCCCCGCGTACTAGACCCAGAGTCGAGTCCCATCGGCCCGCCCAAGCTACGCCTAGCTAGCCAGGAGCCGTAAGCCATGACGTATCTCTACGCCCAGCGTAACGACGTACGCGCTGCGTACGTGAGTACGCCCCGCGTACTCCAAAATTACGCCCCGCGTACGAGGCAATTCCAGCCTATAAATAGAAGGCTTAAGCTCGAGTTTTTGCACACAAATCACAATCCCCCAGCCATTCTCTCATACTTCTAAGCTCCAGAGACCCTCCCTCACCTCGGTTTCCGCACTCGAGCCCCCGACGAAAGATTTACGTTGCAGAGATCCCCGAAGAGCCCGACGACGCAACTATCCGCGATCGAAACTCTGCTCAACTCTAGCCCCTCTCTTCAAACTTAACGAGTGAGTTCATACCCCTACTTTTCAATTCTTTTTCATGTTTTAGGGGGGAAATACAAGTACATTACACGTTAAAAGTATCGTTTTATAAACATAAATGCAATTTCTAACTTCGAATATCGATACAAACATCTTATGTATACAAGGGCGATTATATCACTAAGTTATTTCTACGAAATGGAACATACTATCTGAAAAACTATAATGGGTATAGTTAGCAAGTCAATCCTACATTTTATACAATTTGAAAAACGAAACACTTTCAAAAGAAGTAAGGTTATTTCATTGTAAATCTATTTATACTAGTCAATGTGAGATATTTAAACTTCAACGTACATTTTTGTATGCATTTCAAGTCCTGTATTATATACCATAATCTCTTGGAGGGAGAGCGTGATACTTGTGTATAGATCTATACGGGATTGACAATCCCGCACCTAAACTACTAGCTATAGTTAGACCGGCAGGTCTGGGGTGACAAATGTCATAACACTGCAACACTTGAAGAATGTTGTTACAGGCCGTCAGTGTCAATAGTATGGTTATAAAACTCACATAAAAAGTATAAAACAAGATTGATTTACGAGATTCATATGTGCATCGCAGTTTTCCTACATTATATTTCATACTAAATTATTGTCATCATTTGTTTATAAAAGTTACTAACACATTCCAACTTGGAACCTTTTTCATTTTACAAGAAAATATTGGATTTTCTAAAAACCTCGTTTACCAATTACTACCAAAAGGAATATACTTTTCAACTCGGAACACTCATGAACTCACCAACTTAATTGTTGACACTTTTCAAAACCACTTGTATTTCTTAGGGAATCAGTGATACAAGTAAACTACCAGCTTTTGGAAGAAGGAACACAAAGGATGTGTTTATCATTAAACATTTATCATCATATTGTAATATTCTTTTGATAACATGTATAACGCAACAATATACGTTTTCATTTTTATATATATGATGGTTGTGTTACTTTCTTTACAATATTCAATCGTTGTGATACTACGTGAAGTCATCCACCCCCGAATGTTTCCGCCATTCTGGTTTGGGGGTGTGACACATTATGAGAAACATGATTTCACACATGAAATCATTATAATTAAAATGAAAGAAACATGAATTTTTGTAACCAAAAGAGAGAAATTAACTTCACAATTACAACCAATCCTTAGGCACCATCAACAACACATAAAGGAGTGCATATAGAAGAATTTTGATAGTAATAATTAGCAAAAATAACCTCTAATATGGTTGAAATTTGACCATTAAAAGAACCAAAATAACTTATGTGAAATTAGAAGATTAATCCAGTCAATGGAAAAAATTCAACTTCATAATTCCTTCCAAAATAATAGCAAATAAAGTATGAACACATGAAAATCATAAAATCCTAAAACGCACCAATTGGAAAGATCGTTTTCAGCCTCAATGGAACCCTCAAAAGGAATCTCGTTGACCCTCTCCTTTCCGATTGCTAGCTCCCTCTCTTTTCTTCTCGTCGTTGGATTCTTCTTTACTTCGCGTTGGTTTTTTTTCTTTTGTTTCTATTGTCTGTCAATGAAACACAATTCCAAGGAAGAGGAATCCTCTTTCTTTCTTCAGTTTAAGACCAAGAGAAAAATGTTCGTTCCTCATTAATTCTCATAAATACGTTAATTCTCATTCATGAGGAGTTATACACGTTTTTTCCAATTAAGTCACTCAACTTCGAGCCTTGTTGCTCTTCTACCATAACCCAAGACATATTGACATTCCAAGTTTGTTTTAATAAAACTCTAGCCCCTCAATTCTATTTAACCCCTTTTAAGGAGATATTTTTAACAATATACCACCTTAAATCATTTTAATTTAATTATTTAACTTTAAATAATAATTAATTCTTTGAGGTATTAAATACATCTTTTATTTAATTTATTTTGTTATACAACCTTAAACCAAAATAAACCTATGAATATAAATATTTGTCTAACTTAAAGCAATATCAATGACAGAAATAAATTAGGATCGTTACAATTCTCCCCTCCTTAAAAACTTTTCGTTCTCAGAATCTTTATGTCTCCACTTCTTCTTATTCCTAGGTTGCCTCATTGTGTTATACTCTAAAATGAATCAATGCCAAAGGAAAAATGTGTTCACCAGAAAACTTTTCACACTATATCAAACTTTTCACGCACTATGACTAGATCAAACATGGCCACGTCAATATCTAACTTAGGGACTCATGGACTCTGAGGTACACCACAGTTGATCACAAAAGTGCAATGATACCAACTATTTAGTATTACTAGCATCAAATAGCATAAAAGCATAGATAACACATAAGCACAGACAACATAGAATTAGGTATATAATTAACTAAGAGAATCCCAAAAAATTATATCATCAATGTATCACACCTCCTCAGTTGTCATATTAAAAGCTTGGGCTTTCAACTTAGGAACTTCATATTTCTCCTCATTACCACCTGCTTAAACTTCTGAATTTGGGTGATGAGTACTAATATGTCCTATATGTATATAGTTGAAACACACAGGCTTGAGGCTATTGTAATCATCCTGATGGTGGCCTAGCTTACTGCACCGTCTGCAACTAACAGTCTTGTTGCTACAAGGAACTCTATGTGAAGAATGACATGGATTATATGACTCTCGACATTCGTTCCCCATCTGAAAAAATTTCCTCTTTGATTACCCAAATGAACATTTAGATTTTCTCTTCTCTCCAGTCTTTGCAACAACACACCTTAGTGTCACCAAATCAATCTCAACCATGAGAGCCTCATCCATTGCAGCCGCCGCCAAGGTGTTGTGCTACCTCACCATAACTCGATACTCTGCTGGTAACCGCTCAGCATAATATTCCACCCGTGTTACCTCGGTAGGACAATAACTCATCCCAAATAGTAGTTCTCATAGAACACCGAATTATATTTCTCAATAGACATAAGTCCTTTTTCCACGGCAAGGAACTCCCACTCAATCTACCTCATCTGACTTGGTGGACAAAAACGATCATGGATCCTTTGGTTGAACACCTCCCAGATCATGGAACGAAGTGTAGCCTTAAGGATAACAGAATCCAATGCCTCCTACCACTAAAGTGCATCACCATCAAACTTTAGTGTTGTATAAATGACTTTATGTGACTCTGTGAAGTCACCTAAACAGAAAATCTGCCTCATCTTACAAAAACATGGCATGCATACTGTTGGGTTATTCCCTCCTTGGAAGACAGGGTGTTTGTGGTCCATAAATGCTTTGAAAGAACTACCTATCCCCTCCTCATGATCTCTAATGGGCTCCCTACTCTGCTACTGGGTAACTAAGCGGCTATCTGATATCACCTCGCATGGCTCCTCATTCTCCACTTCTTCATCTTTTAGGGATAAGAGGCCAGCAACTCGCATAGTCGGTAGCATCCGTTGCATGTCTCGATTGTGTCTCTGTAACTCAGCATCCCGTGCCTCAAGATACTCCTGAAGGTCAGCAATGATAGCAATACTCCTAGTGATGCGCTCGCTACATGCTTGTTGGGCTCGTGGTTGGCGACCAACAGGCGGGGTTTGAAAAATAAACAGTGATGTTTCTGGTGTGCAGTTGTCCTGCCCCCACCAGCTCCTCCAACATTAACATTCCCATCGTCGTGCGACTTGTTCCTGAATAACGAAGAATTTTGGGTATACATAACAATTACAGGAAGAGAAATTTCAAAAAGTTACAAATAACTATCCTACAACACTTAGCACACACCCTTTCGCCCTTTAGATCCTAAGCAGAGCCAGTCTATACTGTGAGTCTGAACAACAACCTATTTATTTAGTTCACTCACATCATGGATGTGATACCAACTTGTAACGTCGTGATTTTCACCTCAATTTTTTTATGTGAAACACCTTCTAACGGAAAATCGCAATGGAAGACTTTATTTAATTAATTTAAAACATTTTCAAATGACAACGTTACTTCAAAATTTAAACATTATTTCAAACAATTAAAATATAGCTGAAGCAAAAGCACTTTAAAGTAAATAATAAAAAATTTGTCCAAGATTGGTATCGATAGTAAAATCTACTACCCATTAGCAACCCCTCTCAACAATCCTAGCTCCTAAAAGTTTCATATAGTCGTAGGGAAAACGTACAAATTCTCAATAGGTCAACAATTCAAATTATGAGATCATAACATTAAGCAACACATACTCACGTATAGCAGGAAATTCATCACACATCAACAAAAGCATAACATTTCACCAAAACAACACTTATCACCAAAAGCAACATATATCACCCAAATAAATAGATATCATTAAAAGCATATCAACATAAGCACGTCATCAAAAGCATAATACTAAAAGTATTTCACTAAAAGAATAAACCCAAAAATATGACACCAAAAACATATCACTAAAAGTAGGTAACCAAAAGAATAACTCCAAAGGAATGTCACTAAAAGAATACCAAGAAAGGAATGTCACCAAAAGCATCCTATGATAGGAATGAGACTGTACGTACATCCTACCCCAAGGGAACTACCCACTTCACCTTTTTTTTCCCACATTGTTTCATGCTCTAACTGGCTCATGACTTCCACCCGAAAAACCAACCCCAAACACCCCTTTCACTACTCCGACTATGCGAAATACAAGTTTTCACGATGTCGTTCAGGATATGGTACCAATGGTGTCGTACATCCATTACACCTCCCAATCCTACGTAAGGCTTGTACTAGTCCTCCTTGGTGTGACCACACCACTCCAGTCCATGAACTATGTAGCGATAGCATACATGTACCATGTGTTGTGGGATCTCCAAGATAGAAAGGGAGACTAACACCAAAATGGCCTAAGCTCTTTTTAGAGGTCCTCTTTCAACCTAGTTGGTCATCAAAGGTATCCAGATAGGGTTTAAAGAAAGTGTCGTAAACTACATAACCCACTATGCAACGCCCCGCAAGATTCAACAAGTTATCATGTCAAGCATGCAATTTAATACAATCAACCAATATCATAATATTCATCAAATGCATCAACAATTCACCAATTGTAGCAAACTATCATTGTTTCAATAAAATTTGTGCTATCATACCATAAATAATATAACCATCACAATGAAGACGAAGATCAATTTTGACCTGAAGCATAACAACTAGAAAGCAAGGATATTAATTGTACACATAATACTTATACACAAAACATTGACTAATTTTGAAATAAAAGGATTCGATGATCCGTGTGTGAAACATATTTGCGACTTATGCACAATTAGTGAGTAAAACTACTAACTCACCTTGGCCTCAGTGAATCCTTTGTTAACTCCAAGTTTTGATCACCATTGAAGTTGTCAAGACCTCACCTAAACCCATATATCATTAGGTGATTAGGTGCATTTAAAGTCTACAAGTTTAGCTCAACATACTTTAAGTTTTATATTGCATTTTTTTTATAATTCAATCCATGACCAGTATTCAGTGTTTTCATCATAAAACATAATCTACAACTCTAATTGTGATGAAATTAGACTTTCTGGACACTAGACTCGATTTCTTAGAACTTCATGAGAGTGAAGCCTTATGTGGAGTTAATTTATATTTGAATTTGACCTTGGTTAGGAAAGGTCTTGGAAATGTTGGAGTTAATTTATATTTGAATTTGAGTTTAACTCAATAAAGGGAATAATTCGTTACCATATTGTGGTTAACCTGGTAGTAAAACAATTAGTTATAGTTTTGGTTGTTTTAAACAACTTTAATTCATATTTCAATGAGAGTCTATAAATTACAATCACTTAGTAGTTTATTATGTGTGTCAAAATAAAAAGGATATCCATAACATTTTTTGGTGTGCACTCTTGCCCTATATTAGTTTGTGCACTTTTTTGAGATTGTTTGTAGCCTGATTACCAACACTTGGTGTCAGAGCTTTCAGTTCATGCCCAAATACATCTGCTACAAAGCCATGTCATCATCCAACCAACTTATTACAAGAGATAATAGTGGGGTGTCATTTCAATGTCCGATGTTGACTCCTACGAACTACACCAAGTGGGAGATCAAAATGGAAGCTATAATAGATGCCTAAGGAGTATGGGAATCCATTGAACCAGCAGGAGGAGAAGTTGTGGATGAGAAAAAGAAAATGTTGGCTCGAGCTTATATTTTCCATGCAATACCGACAAATATCTTGTTACAATTGTCAAAGAAGAACACGGAAAAATAGGTGTGGGATTTTTTAAAAACAAGGTTCCTCAGGGCTGATAGAGTTCAGAACGCAAGATTGCACACTCTTAAGAGTGAGTTTGAGGCCTTACAGATGAAAGAAGCAGAGTCTATAGACGAGTTTGCAGGAAAGCTAAGTGAAATGACCTCGAAGCACAACATTCTTGGTACAAATCTTGAAGATAGTGTACTCGTAAGTAAGTTACTTGACCCTATCCTAGATAACTACCTGTAACTGGTAACATCCATAGAACAATATGTCTTTGTGGATGAGATACCATTCGAAGAAGTTGTAGGAAGGCTTAAGGCCTATAAGGATTGGCTGAAACTTCGCAGCAATAAGACAACCAGGGAAGGAAGTTTGTTTCTCACTTGAGCAGAAGGTTAAAATAGTCAAAAGGCTTCAAAGGGGGGTTTCTTCTCGAGTGATAAGGGATGCAGAACATCACATCATGACAAAGGTGGTCGAAGTGGTAGACGAGGTACATGAAGTAAATGGGACAGAGGTAGTCGTGGAAACTTTACAAAGTTACACAACTCATACAATTATCATTAAAAAGGAAGGGATAAAAGTAATATAAAGTGTTACAACTATAAATAATATGGTAACTGTGCATCAGAATGCAAAGCTCAAAACGAAAGAAAGGATGAAGAAGACTTGATTCAAACTCAAAATTGCATTGATGAACCAGAAGTACTTCTTTTGAGTATCCTTGGGGAAGAGTCAAACAACATGGTGTTACTAAATGAAGACAAGGTGTTCCCAGGATAGAAGAGCAGTGATAAAGACATTTGGTATTTGGATAATGGAGCCAGTAATCATATGATTGGCATGAGAAGTTTCTTTGTTGAACTCAATGAGAAAATGACCGGATAGGTGTATTTTAGTGATGGTTCTAATGTGAAGATTCAAGAAAAAGGGACAATATTTTTTGAGGGAAAGAATGGTGATCATGTACTTGTACCAGATGTATATTTCATTCCAGCTTTGCATTGTAACATCCTGAGTCTAGGGTAGATGACAGAAGAAGGATACAAGATTGAGATGTTGCATCAGTATCTACCAATACATGATAAACATAGAAGATTGATAATGAAGGTACAACGATCCAAGAACCAGATGTACAAGATGATGGGTTTTGAGCATTCTAACACTTCCTAAGTGTACATGCAACCCTAATAACCTTGGATCTATGTTTGTCTAATTATCATGCAAAGTTGAATTCCAAGGTTATATTCCTATCTAGCATACATGGGGAACAATTTTAACATAAAGTATAGATAGAATAACTTACCTTGTTGTTGTTTTTGTTCCTTGAAACCTTGTGAGCCTAGCACCCCAAGTGTGATGCCTCAAATTCTTCACACAACACCAAATGCTCTTGGAAGAACTTATGAGAGTATACACACTTCTCAAAATCGGCCAAGCCCTCTTGTTTCTTAGTGTGTAGCCGATTTTAGGTGGAGAACATGTTACTTATATAGTGTTGACACATCTAGGGTTAAACCCTAATGTGTCATGACTCTTCATTTCCATGACCCATGGGTTTGTAACTCCCATGGAGCATCCATGGAGCATCCTATGGGTGGAACCCAACTTGATAGTCCATGGAGCCTTTTAGCCCACTATACAAGATATGGATGATTTACATAATCAACCCATATATTTAATTAGTTATCTTTTGATCACATAATTAATTCTAAATTAATTCTTGATCAAACTAATCAAATAATATTATTAATATATTAGAACTTATAATATATTAATAATCTCCAAGTGTTATTTCTCTCATTTAGTCTATCCAATTGCATGATGCCATGCAACCCAAATGGACCATGCCGGGTCGGGTCAAGTACATACCAGAAATAGTTATGGACTTAGACACCTTATCCAACAGTCTCCCACTTGGATAAGTCTAATAACTATTACTGCAAGTATGACTTCAGGAACCGATCGGCAATCATAGCTCTTTACAAGGTTTCTCGAAACTGAGAAGATGATGGTACGCCATTTAAGATAAGTGATCATATAATCCTCTGTTCTAGATATCAGTCGGACAAATACATGGAACAATGTCTTACTTATTGTCCAATAGTTTGTTTCCCGATTTCCGATTTGTTTGACAAAGAACTTCATTGAACACATCAATTTAGTTCTGACCGGGCCCGGTACATAGGTCAAAACAAAATCATCGAGGGGCCCAGATATCAGCTTCTAATCCAAGAAGGAACAGATAAACTTCGAATCATATGTTTGTTCTACTACTCATTGAATTACACACAAGAGCGCGATTTAGAACATCGAGTTACTAATGCATTTTTCGTACAATCAATGCATAACCAACTTGTAAGTAACAAATCATATCTCTAGGTTTAAAGACTTATATGATATTACCGTCTCACGATCAATCGAGATAGAATTCCATGAAGTGATTCCAGTGAGCGTGGGTTGAGTCCAATGCTCAGAACTTATGAGCACTCATGATTGTTGTAGCCTTGTCCAAGACCTCTACAACCAAACATGACAGTCTTGATTCATACCTACTTCCGACATATGACCGACTGTGGAGGTTTGAATAATATGTTATACCAAACAAAATTATTCTGGAAGTCAAAACATGCAAAAGAAATATAGTAAACGATCGACAAGAGATAGCAACACTTTACTCATAAATAAAACACTTTTATTCATCATCAAATGTCAATTACACTTTACAAATTTCAAGGTTATCTAACTACTAAATCTAATATCATCCTTCAGCCCTATGCTCCGAGCATGCTGGAGATGCTTAACCCGAGTCAGTCCCTTCGTGAGGGGATCTGCCGGATTCTCATCTGATGATACCCTCTTTGCCACGAGGAGTCCTTCTTCGATCCGATGTCTGATGAAATGGTATTTTCTGTCGATGTGTCTGGATCTCCCGTGATCCCTTGGTTCCTTGGCTAAGGCAACAGCACTTTCACTATCACAGAAAATTTCCATTGGCTCTTTAATAGCTGGTACAACTCCAAGGTCTCCAATGAAGTTCCTCAGCCATAACGCCTCCTTTGCCGCCTCGCTAGCTGCAATATACTCTGATTCACAAGTAGAATCTGCCACTGTCTCTTGCTTGGAACTCTTCCAAGAAATTGCTCCTCCATTTAGGGTAAAGACCCAGCCCGACTGAGAGCGGAAGTTATCCCTATCAGTCTGGAAGCTAGCATCACTATACCCTACAACTCTCAAGTCATCACTCCCACTGAGGGTAAGGACCCAGTCCTTAGTCCTTCGTAGGTACTTGAGAATATTCTTTACCGCAATCCAGTGTGCCTTGCCAGGGTTCCCCTGAAACCTGCTAACCATGCTCAGGGCAAAAGCTACATCAGTTCGAGTACACGTCATAGCATACATGATCGATCCTACAGCCGGGAGCATAAGGTACTCGACTCATTTGTGCTATCTCAGCCTCAATGCTAGGGCTTTGTCTCTTACTCAGTTTGGCGTTACTCTGGATGGGCAACTCTCCTTTCTTGGAGTCTTGCATTCTGAATCTCTTCAGAACCTTCTCCAAGTAGGTACTTTGACTAAG